TTTGTGTTTCAGAATCACATTTGTCCCTCCATAGAAAACCAACCTCTAACAGCCCAGAGCTGAGCCATCAGAACCTTCGCTTTCACCCAGAACTAATTCCTCCCCAAGTCTCAGCCTGACGAGAATAGTCAGGGTTTAGAGAGCACTTGCTCTATCTCACACACTCAGATCCAGCACCTCATTTTTCAAACTCGGGTGTATTTGGGGTGGAGAGGAAGGAAACGCACATCTGGTTGACATGAAAAGATTGGTGTGCTTGTAATGCAGACAGAGTGGAATTTGGGATTTTTTTTTAAAGAACATTTAAACTCTAAAAATAGACAAACTGGGAATTCTGTTTCCAGTTTCCTCAGATCTCCCAGTTGACAAGCATAAGTGTTTTGTGAGCACCTACTGTATGCACGACACTGTGGCCAGCATTGCAGGGGAAAGAGGGGAGGGAGAAAGCAGAAGCAGAGGCCTTTGTTCAGGGAATGTTGATCCCACACAATGAAGCTGCAAAGAACAGTTGCTGAAAACATGATTGAGTACAAAATAGGCAGCTTTTGAAGTCAGAGGAAGATGGAGACTGGGAGAGTCATTCAGGGAAGGCTCCCTGGAGGAAGAAGTTAAACTGGGGTTTGAGGGATGATGGATAGGGTATAAAAAGGCAAAGAAGCCGGAGAACCTGTGAGAGAGAGAGAGGAAGAAACAGCCAAATGGAGCCTATTTGTAGGAGAATAGGAAGATTAATATTAATGGCTAATGTTTGAGACCTTACCCTGTGCCAGGCTACTTGTTTTGTATGGGTTATTTTGCATAACTCTCAAAACAACTCGAGGAAGTGGGTATTACCATGTCCCATTTAACAAACTGAGAGCCGAAGAGATCAGGCAGCTTACCTAGGTTTGCAGAGCTGGTGAGCAGGGGGCCAGGACTTGAGTGGACAGTCTGGCTCCACGCGCTAACCACTCCTCAGTGGCAACCTGATGCCAGAGGGGGTGCCTGCAGGGAGGAACGGGAGGTGCAGTGGGCTAGGGAGGACAGTGGCAGGGACCAGGGTCTTCAGAAGCCCCCAGACAGAGGATTTTCCTGAAATAGAGCCCCCAAGCCCTCCTGGGAAATCTAAAATGAGGTATTCTCTCTTCTCCCTTCAGAAGGTAGATCCCTGGGGTATTTGGCAATTGGTTAAGGGATTTGGGGGCTCAAGATTTCAGCTTTTTAATATCTCTTGCCTGTCCATGCAGTGGTAGCCTGTGCCACCCACCTTGTTATTTCAGTCTGTTCTGGAAGATTGATGGCCCAGGCTTTGATTTAAGATCTGTGTCTGCGATCCTCAATTTCCCCTGTCTCATGGGGGACAATGACAAGGCAGCCATCACACAGAAGATGGCTCCTCCTTCCCGAACTCCAGGCCTGAGAGCTTGCGGTACCTGTAGAGAGAGTTCCAATCAGAAAAGCTTGGACAGCCCTGGCCAGTTTGGCTCAGCGGTTGAGTGTCAGCCTGCGGACCAGAGAGTCCCGGGTTTGGTTCCTGCTAGGGGCACGTACCACAAAAAAAAAAAAAGAAAGAAAGAAAGAAAAGAAAAGCTTGGACAGAGGCAGCCAGGCCCACTGGACCTGTCTTCTGGAGCCTCAGTTTCCCCAAATGATATGAAGGGGGAGGCCCATTTAGTAATAGAGTAGGAGGAGCCCTCAGTGGTGAGCTGAACCAACTCCCTCACTTCATAGATGAGCAAACCGAGGCCCAGAGAGGTTAAGAGACTTACCCAAAGCCAACAGGAAATGAGTTGAGCCTTCAGCTGGGTCTCCAGCTGTTTGAGAAAAAGGACTTTTACATACCGTTTACCCTTCAATTCTGCCCTGTTCTAGATGAATTCTTGTTCTGGGTGCATAACGGGACCTGGACTCCTCTGCGATTGAAATAAAATATATGAGGACCTTACCTAGGGCCAGACATTTAATTGGTTCCTCGGATAGGTATGATCGCATCTCTTCCTCATAAGATCCCTGTGGGTCATTGGGCCCAGAAGTCGCCAGGCCTGGCCAGCTCCTGGATTCAGAAGACAATATTATTTTGGTCCAAACCCTAAAATTCCTGTCCATGCTCTTTCCTGCCCTGTCAGTTCCTCAGTCAAAGCACCTTGAAAAGTCACCTCACTGCCCAGTCGACAAGGGTTCCATGAATCTTCCAAAGGGACGTTGCGTTGCTCCCAGACCAGCCTGTCAGCTGCAGTCCCCACTGGCCATCTGTCCTGCTTGTCTGCTCCTGTCCTAGAACTTGCCAAAGGCTGCTTGAGGGAATACCCCTGCCCCCTGCCATGCCTCCTTGATCATGGTGGCCCTGTGGGGAAGCTAATGTCCAGGCCAAGTGGTGACTCGAGTCCTTGGGCTGCCAGAGGCAGCATCTCCCCTAACACAGGGCCCTAGGTCCCCAAGTTCTCGCAACTTAACAGCTTGGGCCCCAAGACCTCTGCACAAAGAGCTTGTCTTGCTGGTGACTGCAACTTCTAACCTCTGGCCTCAAATATAAGCCATGGGGCCGGGGAGGTGGGGGCACCGTTTCCACCTTCCTCCTTGGGTTTCTGGGAACCACCCCCAATAGACAGTCCCTCTTGTTCTTCAGTTACAGAACAAAATGTTCCAAGTAAATTAGAGGATCTTCCGACTGATCTTGGTAGATGGGGGAAGCTAAGTGATTTCTTTCTGGTAAGTAGCTAATTCACAACACCCCTGCCCCCCCGGGCCATCCTGGCCACCCCAGGGCTCTGGGAAGTAGAAATGGTCTGTGTTGTCCTCATCCAATCTTCCAGGCTCCATCTTCTTTCCTCCGGCCTCACGCGGTTCAGCCCCATCTTGCCGAGTCTCATCCAAGCCCCGAAGTTTCTGAGAGGAAGGAGAGGACAGAGAGGCCAGGTGTCCACTGCCTTCTGGGGAGATCCGGCAGAGAGCTGACCTTCCCGAAGCCTCTGCTGGTATTGCCACGCTCGCCGCCCTGGAGGCCCAGGCTGGGGAAAACCAGGGGTGCTCTGGGGCCCAACGCTTCCCCAGTGCTGGGCAGTGGAGAGGCGGCCCCAGGGCCACTGCTCGTCTGGAAGAGACTTCCGCCCAGGCTCCCCACCCAGGCCCGACCCTGAGACACCTGGCCGCAGAGCCACAAGGAGGCAGCAGACTGACCAAAGGCAAACAAGGCCCCCCATGGCCACAGACCCTGTGTCTGATCTAAAAACAGGACACAGTGAAAAGCTCACAAACCCTGGGACTGGGGAGTGGTGGGGGTTGGGGGCAGACTGAACAGAATCGTGGGCTGCAATGAAAACTCCCATCCTGGGTAATTCCCAGGCCTCTGCAGGGCCGTTTCCACGGAAAGGGGGGTTGACCTGGAGAAGACAGGCTCCTGACAGGGCTGGGCTCCGTCCTCTGCTCTTGCCCACAGAAGCCTCAGCCCCTGATTAAACAGTTCAGACCAGGTGCATGAGCCAGCTGAGACCCTGCCATGTGACAGGTAGAGGCCCAGCCTCTGTGGGACAGGTGCCCACGTTGGTAGCAGTAGAGGAGGGACGGTGCCTGGGCCCAGGGAGCAACTAGTGGCATGTCCTAGACTATGGGAGGCCACCAGAGCCCCAGCCAGATTCTAGGGCATGGGCTTCTGAAAGCAGCCAGGAAAACCAGTCTGTCTCTTAACTGAGGCAGGACGAAATCAAGCCCCAGGAAGTCTGGACCCTGGTCTGGTAAACTCTTGTCCCCAGGCCCTCTCAATCCCTTCATTTGCCTCCAGGCCAGCCCCTCTCTGATCCACGAGAGCTCTACGTTGGCCCCCAAGGCAACCCCTTCCCCGGCCCTGACTGGAGCGGAAAAGGCAGGAAGCCCTCCTGGCACATTCCCTGTTGGAAGATGGTGACAAACAAAGTGACAGTGGGCACCGCTCTGCATCTCACAGGCAGGCACTGGGGGGCGTAGGGTCAGGAAACAGGTGGCTGTCCCAGCCTTACCTCTGAGGGATCCTGGAGGAGCTCAGGCCTACAGATGCACCTTTCATGCCAGGACACAGAAGCCCAGCCCTGGCGGGTCCGGCCCAGAGGCAACCACGAGGCCTGGCTCCTGGGTCAGCTCCCGAGGTGGGAGCCGCCCGGCAGGGAGGGCCTGCTCCCAGGTGGATCCCCAAGGGCCGTCCCTCCTCCAGACCCCACATGTGTTCACCCCAGGAAGAGAGAGGGGCACATAAGCATTCAATGTCCACTTTCCTTTTCTCACCTGGTCCTCATTCCTCCTCTGACCCCGGCCTCTCAGTTCCAAGGTGCCAGCTTAGAGTACACCACCCGCAGGACACCAGCCCCTGGCATTCAGGAGCCAGGAGGCCACGTGGAGACCAGCAGCTATCCCCTCGGCTCCCCTTGCCCAGCCCCAGGCCAAACTGGGGTTTTTGCCTGTTTTCCTCTGAAGAAGGAGGGGAAGTGGGTGTCCTGCCAGGTATGGTCAGCCCTTGGTCAGGGGCCCATGGGCACCTCCCAGTGGACAGCCCAGCCCTGGTCAATGCCGCACCGACTGGCTCTGGGAACTCAGCCCAGGAACAATGGGGCCATTCATGTGCTTTGCACAATGATCCTCTTGGTCTATCTCCATGGCTAGACGGTGAGTAAGTGTGTGTGTGTGTGTGTGTGTGTGTGTGTGTGTGAGAGAGAGAGAGAGAGAGAGAGAGAGAGAGAGAGAGAGAGAGAGAATCTGGAGGTAATTGGAGAGCCCAAGCAAAGACAGGAGAAAGAGTACCGACCAGGGACTTACAAGAATCCTGATATTCATTTTTCATCAGATAATTACTAGTGCCAGGCACTGTACTAGGTGCTTGCATTATCCTCACAACAACCAAGTGAGTCAGTTCCAAAATTTTATTTTATTTTATTTTAATCAATACATGGCTTTTATTGCATCTTTAACATATCACAAATAAGTCTGAGGAACCATCCAGCATCTTGCTGTTTCTATAGCTGGACAACTTCGATCTTATTCATCAGCCTGCTGGACTACTCCTTTTTCAGAAACATAGGTACCATCCCAAAATCTTCGGATAACCTTGTTTTAACTGTTGTGGCTTGCTGAATCAAAGCAACTGAATTTGATACAGGCTCAATGTCATTTCCTTCAAGAATTAACTCATCTTTCTGGGCTTGAGATATTGCACAAGCAACACCTGACCTCATCCGAACCCTGTGGATATATTTTTCACCCAAGAAATTTCTGATTTCAACAAGAGAACCATTCTCCTGAATAACGATGCTGAGGGGAAACGCGCGTACAGACCTCGTCCTGTAACGGAAGCCCAGTGCGACACCCTTGATCGCGTTCTGTCCGTGGCTGCGCAGAGTGCAGGTGGTAGCCAGTTCCTCTCTACGTCCCCGCCATCTATCAGCCCGGAGCCTCTTCTTTTCCTTTCCAAGGAGACGGAGTTCTACACCAACGTGACGGAAGTCCCTCCACGGGGTGCCTCTGGGGCCCTTCATTATAAGCGTGCGTCCTTTCCGAGTGATGTCCACATTCTACACAACGCCGACAGTCTGGTTGCTGAGAATGGTCATCCACACAGAAATGAGGCAAAGAGAGTACCCCCATTTTAAAGAAAACCAAGGTGAGGTTATAGAAGCAGAAGAATGATAACTTCTTGATGGGGATATTGGCTGGGAAGGGTGCAAGGGAACTTTCTGGGGTAATGGGAGTTTCCTATTTGGGAGGTGTTCACGTGGAGATATATATATATATGCAGTCATTGTGCTAGCCACTGAAGACATGCATTTTGCTTTATGTAAATTATATTTCACTAAAAATATGATGGTATATCCATAGAATGGAATATTACCCAGCCATAATTAAAGACTAAGAGAGCTCTATATATTAATATAGATCACCAACATACACTATTTTAAAAAGTGACTTGCAAAACAGTATTTTCCAGATAGCATACAAACACAGATATTAAAATACTGTCTATAGCTCAGCCGGTATAGCTCAATGGTTGAGCATCAACCCAGGCACCAGGAGGTCGCCGGTTTGATTCCCAGTCAGGGCACATGCCCAGGTTGTGGGCCTGATCCCCAGTGGGGGCCGTGCAGGAGTTGGCCAGTCGAGGCTCTCTCTCATCGATGTTTCTAGCTTTCTCTCTCCCTTCTTCTCTCTCTAAAATCAATAAAGAAAATAAATAAATAAAATACCGTCTATACATACCTGCTTGGGAGTGTTTAGATTATCTCCAGACAAACAAACCACAGCTGCCTCTGCAAAGAGGAGCCACACTGCTGGACGCAGAGGCTGAAGAAGACTTTCCACGATATATAATACCCTTTTCTTAACCTATGGGAGCATATTATTTATTCAAAACTAAAATGAAAACACTGGGTATCTGGCACGGCCGGTGTTGCTCAGTGGTTGAGTGCTGACCATGCACCAAGAGGTCACTAGTTCCATTCCCGATCAGGGCATATGCCCAGGTTGTGGGCCCAATCCCCAGTGGGGGGCATGCAGGAGGCGGCCAGTCGATGTTCTCTCTCATTGATATTTCTCTCTCTCCCTCTCTCTTCCTCTCTAAAGTCAATAAAAAAATTGTGGATTCCAGAATCATTATGTCCATTGTTTCCATGCGTTTAATTACAAAATCAAATGGCCTCTCCCCACCTTTCCCAATGTCTCCAGCCTGTCTCCCTCCCCCAACTCTAACCAGAATGCATTTGCTTGGGCTGTCCAACTGGGAAAAGTTCATGACTGGGCTCCACTGTGGACCATTCAGAACCCACTGCAGCCTGAGAGTCAGGAGGCTGGGCCGGGACTGGAGCCTCGGAGAAGCTGCTGACCCACCCTAAAGGGGGTAGATGCTGCAGGCCCGCTGGCTGAGGGTGACTGTCCAGGTCGCCGTCTAGCCCACTGGTCCTCACTCTGTACCGTCACTGCCTCGTACGCTCCCCTCCATCGTGTCTCCCAGCGAACCCAGAAGGGCCCAGGCTCAGGGAGGCCAACAAGTGTGGGCCGAGCACCTGCCCCATTTGGCTGGAGCAGGGCAGCGAGAGGCAGCTGTCCTTGGGGAAATGCAAAGCTCTCTATTGCTGAGCATGGGCTTCTCAGAAAGTACCTTCTTGCTTTAGGGTCCTGAGTTCAAATCCAGCTCTGCCGTGTCTCGGCCATAGGACCTCGGACAAGTAACTTTGTCTCTTTGTGCTTCGGTTTTCTCATCTACACAAGAAGACGATGACAAGTCCTGTGAGGATTATCCTGAGGGAAATGAGAGGCCGAGGAGCCCGAGCACTGAGCCTGGCCTGTCTTCAAAGACACCACTCGCCACCACTGAGTAGCACCATGTAAGCAAGCTCTGTCAACGTTTATCAAGTGCCTCACAGGTGGGGGTGACAGCAGGGAGGATCTGCCCACACGGGGGCCCCAGGTCCCTTCTGGGTTCCTCCTTGCACAAAGGTTGTCAAGAAAGTAAAGAGTATTGACAGTCAGGGAAGCCCCAGGATGTCCAGGGGCTTGGGAACCTGCTTTCGGGGTCTCAGGGCCAAGAGGCAGGCAGGCTCATGGGGCTCTGGGGCTACCTCCAGGTCACCAAGAGTTACCACAAGGAAGAAAACCAAGACAAAGATGGTGGGAGTTTGGGTGGGACAGGCATCAGCACAGTGCTCTGTGTTCCCTACCTAGCTTTCTTTATCTTACCAGATGCCCCAAGCTTCAGGCGCGGGGCAGGCAGGTCCTGCACACACCTTGCTGCACAGGACGCTCGGCCCCTGCAGCAGGCTGACCTAGGCCAGTCTGTCCTGGAAGTCTAGCTGCTTTTGGTAAGTCCCTGAAACTCTGAGCCTCATTTTTCGTACCGGTAAGGATCACACAGATGCCCCAGCCCTGATGGTCAGCCGCGCCCCCGCTCCCTTCTCCAGGATGGAGTCTCTGTAAGAGGCAGTCTGTTGCCCTCTGCTGCCTGCACTCAGGGACATTAAGGACGACCTTTGTGGACAGGCCTAATGCCGAGCACGGAGAGGCAACAAGAAAGAGTCAGCAGCCCTGCCCCGAATGAGCTCACATTCTAGATGCTGGGGACCAGCCAGAAAGTAAGGGATCAGGCCACACAGCATTAAGTGATGGAACTAAGTGGGAGACAAACACCCTGGAACATTGAGGAAGGGGTTTATTCTGCCAGGAAGAGGGTCCCCTGTAGACCCCAAGTCCCCCCGCACAAGCTGCTCTGAGCCTCACCCCAATGGCTCGTGCCGTCCTCAGAGAGCAGCAGAGGCGGGAAGGTGGAAAGTAGTAACCCCTCGGTTTCACAGGAGAGCACACCAAGGCTCTGTTCAAGGGGGCAGTCAGCTCTGCGCTGGGATGGGTGCCCAGACCCCGGGCTCCCAGGGCCGGCTGCTTCCCTGCACTTCTGGGGCCGCTCAGTGCATCCCCACCCAGGCCACCTCCCCAGGTCACCATCTGCCCCTGGCCAGGCCCCACCTCCTTTGTGTAGATGAGAAACTTCCTGCCACCCAGGGTCATTCCTTGCCAAGTGACAGCTGTAGGCAGTCCCCTCTGTGGGGTGAAAAGTGTCTCCCCAGACCCTAAAACAGCTCCACCTCTCACCCATACCTGTCCTCTGCTTAAATCCAAAGCAGAGATGCTGTCTCCAAAGCCCCCTGTTATGATCATGTGTTCATCGAGCATCACTGGGTGCTAACCTCTGGGAGACCCTCGCTGGGCCTAAGCGCCCACCCTGAGCCTGAGAGGGAGATGGGAGGAAGCCTAGAGTCACTGCAACCAGCCCATCTGGTTTTCTGGGCGTTCCAGAAAAATGTCCCCTGGAGGTAAGTTATCTCTGTCCCTCTCCAAAGTGCTTCAACCAGTATTGCTCAACTGTTTTCCAAGCAGGCTCAGAATACATCTGTCCTAGAAGGGTCTCTTCACATTAATAACTAGCTCCTCACCCTCTAAGACAGACATCGTTGTAAAGGGCAGAGTCTTCCCATTGCAGCCTGCAGGGCTGAGCCAGGCTGTGGAAAGAGCAAAGAGACACATTGCAGGGTGCAGGGTGCCCCCCACCCCCACCCCGGGCTCCCTGCTCTGCTCCTCGGGCCAGAGCGTAGGAACTGTCAGAGAGCAGGGGCCGCTGGTGGGGATGTGAGGGTGGAGAGCCCAGGCCTGAGGCCCAGATTCTGGGGCACAGGGAGAACATTAGGGTCCTGGGACCCAAAGGAGGAACTCTTAAGTAGGGTCCCTGGGGAAGGCTTTTAGGGTACAGACACCTGCTTCCAACCCATTGAGCAGGTGGGGGACCTAATTCAAGGACCTGGTAACAGAAAATGCTGCCCCCCACCTCCTCCCACTGCCCAGTTTCAGGAGAGCAGCCCTGGCTGACACGTCCTACAATCCAGGGATGTGTTGGGGTCGGAAGGGCTTCGCTGAGGTTGCAAGGACAGCCTTCTGACTGTGACCTAGAACAAGACACCAAGGGACTGCTGAAGAAGACTTTTGCCTAAGACGCTCCTCATCAGGCATGGTTTTCTGAGTCGGTCCCAGCTGGGCAGAGGGGTGCTTGGGAGAACCGCTCCCCTGGGGAGCAAGCTCTCCCAGCGCGGGTGTACGGAGGCAGCTGGCTCCCATCACCTCTCTGGGGCTCCACTTTAAATGGGTCCGTAATAGCACCTACCTCCCTGAGTTGAGAGGAGTAAGGGAAGTAAATGGATTAAACAAACTATTTAACAACATAACAAACACACTGGACAATGTATGCCACTTATTATGACTACTATGGCTTTAAGACTGCCTGAAAAGGGTCCCTTTTGCCACTTCCTTCCCCAGCTCCTCCCCAACCCCAATTATTGACTCCCCCACCAATGATGTGTTTTGTCTGCTCAACCTTGCAAAAACAAAACAAAAAAAAACGTTTGGGCTTCTGGAATGGGGCTTCAGGCCTTGCTTGGAGATGTGCAAAGCCTTGAGAATGGAGGGAAGGGTGGAAGGGGGTCTGGGTCCCCAGGGACAGCTGCAGGCAGCAGATAAGGGCCAGTCAGTCACAGCAGGAGCCGAGCAAGCAGAGCGGGGCTCAGACAGGTGTGTGCCAGAGAGACTGAATGAAATTAGGAGACCCATCAAAGCCAGAAGGGGTGGGGGACCACACAAAGGCACCCTACAGCACTACAAGTCAAGGTTTTGGTTCCATGTCTGTCTTACAAAAAGAAAAAGAAAATAATGAACCTTGAGCAGTGGGGGAGATGTCAATAGCATACAGAGAGAACTGACAGCACCCTCTTTGTGGGGCCAGAGAACCAGGGGGCCTGTGACAGGTCAAAGTCCACCCTAGGACTCTTCTGGAGCCTCTCAGTCAATCCCAGCTGTTACTACTACTCCCTCAGCCGCCTCTGGTCCCTGCACTCCCAGCCCTTTCCTGCAGGGGGCGCACTTCTGAAAAGCAGGGTGTGGCCGTCTCCTGTCTGACTGGCCCTCATTGCCACGCTCAGTGACCTCAGGGGCTGTTGTTGAACTG